GACAGTACCTGTTTAGAAGTGTTTCCGACAATAATGGAAACACATCAAAGACACCACCATGAAGAACGAGTTAAATTAATTAAATAAGAAAAATAAAAAACACAAAATAAGAATAATTGCTACTAATGGGGCAATGGTTGGACATAAAATCAATCAGAAGACATGCAGAAGCAAATTAGCATGTTTAAAACTTACTTACCTGTGAAAAAGAAGCGCGCAGTTGAGAATATTAACCGAAATTAGCCGGATTCAGCTCAAAACAGCTGATAAATTTCGATTGATCGACCGTGGCGAGAGCGCAGACGGAAAAGTGGCGAGAGCGCAGATGGAAAGGCTACGTCGTACTGCTAAGATAGTGTGCATGCGGAGGAATGCAGACGGCAGGACGGATTGCTCAGACACCACTCAATCACTGGGATACGGCAACCTTCCATCCCCGCGTTGTCGCGGCCGCAGCGCTGGTACGTCCGTGGGACCGCCCCCCTCAACCGGTCGGATATGGACTGTAATTAATTTTGAAAGCAAGGTATACAACGAAATTCCATTCACTAAAATATTTAATTCCAATAAAATCAAAACCTTAGTGAGCAGTAACAATAAATAGAATGTAATGCATGTATAGAATTCACTCCAATCAGAACCATATACAAATATGGTCCTTCTGTATCTAGTAGAATGTACAATTACAATAAAACACTCAAAAGTCTTGACAATCAGTCAATCAAAGAAAACTGCTTGAAAATTGTAAATGTAAAGATAAATTCTTCGAAAACTTTGTAGACGTTAACCACGGACATATAATCACGAGGAATTTGGAGATAATCAAAGAAGCGGAACTTCAGAAACTTATTAGAAAAAGGAACCAAATATAGAATAGACAAAGGTACAACTAGAAAAGAAGTCAAAGAAACTTACATAATCGCAGTCAATGAAATTATAGAGTATTTTAAAAGCAAATATAAAATTAATAAAGAAACACGTCATGAACTGTTGAAACAATTTGCCAATGGAATGCCAGTCGCCATCTATAAAAAACAACTAGTTGGTCACGTCACTATTCTGAAATAGGAAAAGATAGAAGAGGAGGTCAAACGACCTTCACAATTTTTAGACTAGAGAGCAAAGAGCTGAATAAAAAGTAAAAACATCAGCAAAACGTGGTGTAGAAATATGTGAAGACTTTTCAGTGTTAAAAATCAAATCCGCTACGAATGAGCGTGAATGGTGAGAAATATTCGAAAAACTACCTCTGCATCGATCATCCCATGAACAATTCGTGTAGCCTGGGCTATTCCATCTGAATCCTCGCGGGCGCTAGCGTCTAATCCAAATAAATCGAACCAAGCTGGCGTTCTCATTCCCATATTCAGTGTCACTGTTCGTGATGCACTGCAATATCAGCACAGATTGAGTTGCCTGCTCAGTAGTAATTAAAAAACACTCCAGCGATGTCATATTGCCAGTGAGCAAAATGGAGAAACATAAAAAGATTGGGAACCTTCCCACCTACTAGGACAAATATACTTCGTATCGTCATTGCGGATTTCGTGGGCGAACACATCAGCCCAACCATCACTTGAATCTCCCAGTCCGTGCAGAAAAATCACCTGAAATACTCAACAAAGTACACAAATATAGATAAATACACTTTCTTTCGAGATTCAGGATTTACGCTAGCATGACTTTTTCAAAAAAATTCCCTTTGATGTTTGGCTCGAAAATTTTCCGAACAACCCAATACTTTGACGATCACCATACATATTAGTACATTACGAT